TTCTGAAACGAGACAGCCTCGATGACGTATGCAGCCTTCGAATGCGACCTCCGGAGGACGCAGCCTTCTAAATGAGACACAGCTACTCTCTCTCTCAAACAGACATGGCTGACGGATTTTTTTTTGTATATGTCAGCGCTAAGAGACTTGAGAGGTGTGTGCTTCTGATGGATATGAAGGCGACGGTGACCTTCGGCGTAATTGTCCTGCAGTGGCGAGGTGAGTTACATTATGTGTGTATTTCTACAGTGTGTGCTGTATAAATGACACGGTTTGTTTGCCGTTGCCAGGCCGCTTGTTTCGAGTCTCCGAGGAGCTCCATCCTCACTGACCCGTTTATATATCTTGACAAGCTCATATTAGCAATATTGTATTATTGAACAAAATAATGACATTTTCAACAAAACAGGCGTCGTTTTTGACTCTTTGACTCATTTAAGCCAGATTTACAGGGATATTTACTATTAAATTATATCGGATGGACTGACGTGAATTAGCAGTGCTGCTACAGCTAATGTAACTTAGTAGTTAATAGATTGCGTTTTATCCTGTAAATTATTATGACCAGTCTTTGAAAAATTATAATTTGGGAATAACACGAGCTGCTTTAGACGTTTGCTGTTCTACAAATATAATATGTAATACTGAGTACAGGCTTGCTTATGAAAATGATTATGTAGGAGTGGCATAATCGATTCTACTACAGGTCTGTGCTTGTAGTATGTGGTATGTTATAGCAACCAGTTAAAGCATGCTACTTTCATTTAGGTCTATACTTTGTTTGAATAGTTGTAAAGCTGCAAAAACGTAAAGTAATACATATTGCAATATACTGTTTAACCCAACACTTACAAATAACTACTGTGGCAAAAGTGATTGTCATTATCTCTGACCTCAGAAGAAAGTTCAACTTTGTTTTGGTATTCCATCAATACATCAATAGTAGGATGGTATGAGATAAAGAGACATAATTATGATATACTAAGTCATAATTATGGCATAGGTTAAAATAAACATAAAAAATGGTCATAATTGTAACTTTTTCTAACAATTATTATTATTATTTTTCCTTTTTATCTCATAATTGTGACATACAGTGGATATCAAAATTAGAGAGCAACCTACAATTTCCTAAATTTTGAGGTCACTGCTTAGTCTTATTTGAAGTTATCCTAACAGGAGTAAAAGTGCAGGTTTTAAGCATATTTCATGAGTTAAATATATTCTGAAGCACAGTCCAAAAAACTTAAATGAGATATTTGAAAAAAAACTCTGATCAAAATTAGAGAACACTTTCAGATACCTCCCAGTTAGTGGTGTTAATCTGGCACCTGGTGCTAATTTCCTTAATTATATGTCAAACCCTGTTTAACTGGCAGCCTAACTTTCCAGTTTTCACTGACTTTGCAAGATGGTGAGCCGTTCTAAAGTGACTGAAACCCTCTGACAGCAGGTTGACCAGATGAAGGCCAGTAGCAGCCATTGCAAGAGAAGTTGGTCATTTCAAATCTGTGATAGAATATTGCATCTTTACAATGTCACTAACTCATTCAAGTCCCCCAAAAAGACTGGTTGTCCACAAAAAACAAATGCACAAGACGACAGGATAATGCGGAGAATCTCAATGGGAAATCGGTTCAACACTGCAGCTGGAATTGTTTGCCAGTTCAGTGCTGAACAGGGTAAGGATCTGTCTCTGCATGTTTAAGAGAAGTCGGACTGAAAGTGTACTCTGCAGTGACGAAGCCTCTCATCAGCTGAAAGAATCAAAAGTCTAAGCTCACCTTTGCTGAGGAGCATGTTGTGTGGAGAGAGTATTATGTATATTACATAACTATGTTGTAATAATATATAATATTGTGCGCAATTAATCTGTCACGCCCACTGGAGTCTCGTCAGTAGGTCACGCATGCGCTAATAGCTCTGAAGTAAACTAACCCTGAAACATAACCTACTCCGGAGCAGGTTATGTTCAGAGAATAAGTTACTATGGCTACTTGCATGAGCTTGAAGCTGAAAACATTGAAAAAATGAAATGGCCGGCCCAGAGTCCTGATCTAAACCCGATTGAAAATCCTTGGTGACAAAGTTATGGCTTCCACCAAACTGTGGAAGAAGAGTGGACTAAGATCACCCCAGAGCATTGTGAGAAACTAGTGATGTCCTGCGGCCGCAGATGTGCTGAAGTCATTCAAAGCAAGGGCTTCTACACTTCCTACTTCCTACTATTTTTGACTGCTGTAACCTTCAGAAATGTTAGTTGTAATTTTTCTTTGTGCTGCAATCATTGCTGTACTCTAATTTTGATCACTGTGTTTTCCACAAAAAAGGTTTTTGTTGAAGTGCCTTGGTTATTTTGTAAAACACTGTTCTACTAGCATGGTATAGCCACAACTAAAATTACTTCAAATTTTGAACAATGAATATTATTTCATATTCAATTATTCATTATTTCACATTCAGTTATTTAATATAATATAATTATTTCTGGAAAAAAAATCAAGTGGTCATAAATTGTTCTCTCCACTGTAGTATCTCATGATTTTGACTTTTTGTTTCATAGTTATGAAATAATAAAAAATATTAATTTGATTAACTTATAATTATGGTGTACTCGTGATTTACTAAAACATGATTTTTTTTTATGTGGTGGAAAATGGGATTCCATGTATTTGTTGTAAGCTTGATATTTGCTTACTCTATTTTATTGCTTAACAGATATGTAGGCTGTTTATTCAGTATTTTTATGAAAAAAGGTTACTACAGATTGCTTGCCAAGATAAATCTAGATAAATAGTTCTGTGTTTGTTTGCTGTAACCATAAAACAAGTTTGTTCATCTTTATCTCTTGTCTTTGTCATTTCACTGAGTTGCATCATGTTTTGCAGGCTCTGATGCTGGCGGCACCATCACTGTGAAATAAACTACAAACTTATTAAGAGAAGCCAGCAGATACGCCAAAGCCATCAAAATGTCTAAAAGCAAGAGCTCTGAATCTGTTAAGGTAGTGGTGCGTTGTCGTCCCATGAATGAGAAAGAGCGAGCCGCCAACTTCCAGAGGGTGGTCTCAGTGGATGTGAAGTTTGGGCAAGTGGCCGTGCGCAACCCTCGCAGTGCATCCTCCCATGAGCACCCAAAAGTGTTCACCTTCGATTCCGTCTATGACTGGAATTCAAAGCAGATGGAGCTCTACGATGAGACTTTCCGGCCATTAGTGGACTCTGTACTTTTTGGCTTCAATGGGACCATCTTTGCATACGGCCAGACGGGCACCGGAAAGACTTTCACGATGGAAGGGGTACGAAACGACCCCGACAGGAGGGGTGTCATTCCGAACTCCTTTGAACACATTTTCACACACATCTCCCGCTCTCAGAACCAGCAGTACTTGGTCAGGGCTTCATACTTGGAGATTTATCAAGAAGAGATCAGGGACCTTTTATCGAAGGACCAGTCGCGCCGTCTGGAGCTCAAAGAGAGGCCAGATACGGGTGTCTATGTTAAAGACCTCTCTTCATTTGTCACTAAAAGTGTTCGTGAGATTGAGCATGTGATGAACGTGGGGAACCAGAACCGCTCGGTTGGTGCTACTAACATGAACGAACACAGCTCTCGCTCTCACGCGATCTTCGTCATCACCATTGAGTGCAGTGAGTTGGGTCCTGATGGAGAGAACCACATTCGGGTTGGGAAACTCAACCTTGTTGACCTGGCAGGAAGTGAAAGACAGACCAAAACTGGTGCTCAGGGCGAGCGCTTGAAAGAAGCCACCAAAATCAACCTCTCTTTGTCAGCTTTGGGCAACGTCATCTCAGCGCTGGTGGATGGGAGAAGCACCCACATCCCGTACCGTGACTCTAAACTTACAAGACTGCTTCAGGATTCCTTGGGCGGAAATGCCCGTACGGTTATGGTGGCCAACATTGGACCTGCTTCCTACAATTTGGAGGAGACTCTGACCACGCTACGCTATGCAAATCGCGCTAAAAACATCAAGAACAAACCCCGTGTCAACGAAGACCCCAAGGACGCTCTGCTTCGGGAGTTTCAGGAGGAGATTGCCCACTTGAAAGAACAGTTGGAGAAAAAGTCTGGCAGGAAGAGGAGAAAAAGGAGGAGAAGGGTTGGAGAAGGCTGAGAGGAGCTAGAAGATGAGGAGGAGGAGGAGGATGATGAGGAGGAGGATGACGACGAAGAGGAAGGAATGGATGCGGATAAGAACATTGTGGATTATTGGCATGAACAACAGGAGAAGCTGGAGAAGGAGAGGAAGGCCATCATGGAGGACCACAGCCTGGTGGCGGAGGAGAAACAGAGGCTGCTGAAAGAGAAGGAGAAGAAGATGGACGATCTTCGCAAAGAGAAGGAGGCTTCAGAGATGTTGGCGGCCAAAGTTAAGGTTAGAAAGCACAGACCTTGGGTTAAAATATACTTTTGTTCAGAAGTTTGGGGTCAGTAGGATTTTTAAAAAAATATTTATGAAAAGTCTCTCCTGCTCACTAAGACTGCATTTATTTGATCAAAAATACAGTAATAACAGTAATATTGTGAAGTATTATTACAATTTTAAATATCCTTTCTATTTCAATATATTACAAAAATGTAATTTAAAAATGTAATTTATTCCTGTGGTGGCAAAGCTGGATTTTCAGCATCATATATGTGATTTTTTTTTTCAGGATTCTTATACAATTAGAAAGTAAAAATAAATAAAATAGAAATCTTTTGTAATATTATAAATGTCTTTACTGTCAGTTTTATGTGTCATTCCTGAATAAGTTTTAGTTTCTTTAACAAAATCATGCTCACCCCAAACTTTTTAATGCTAGTGTATTTATTTTTAACGAATATAGTAAAATTATTGCAAATATTCTGTAATGGGGAAAAAAACAACAAAAATTTTTTGTTTAACAAACAAAAAACATTTGTGTAAAAATGTAAAACATTTTTGTAAATAATTAAAATAATTAAATATTAAATGTAAAAAATTATACTTTTATATTTATAAACATTATACAATTCACGTTATACATTTATAATTTAAAACAAAATTCAATATAAAATAAAATATATAAAATATAAAATATACATTTAAATTAATAATTTTTATAATTGGGCCAGTGAAAATATTGGCAGGGTAACAATTGGCTTGACCAGTCATGCTGAAAAAACACCTTTTGTGAATTCATGAGTTTTTTTTTGACTGATTCATTAAAAGAGGCAGCTTGTAAGAGACATTTGTATTTAATTAAGACTACACTGATGACACTGTATGTTGCTTTTGCAGTACAATAGAAAAACATATTTGTCCTCATTTTATTACTCATTTGTTTTATCTCCTCATGTTCAATGTACGCTGCAAAGTGAAAACTCAGATTTAATTAAATATGTTGAAGACTGGATAGTCGTTTAAGAAACAAATACTCTTAACAGTCCTTCCCTTAGCTTGGCTGATAGTGTCTCATCGTGTTTGGCTTATCTGATAACCAGTTTTTCCCTTTCAGGCCATGGAGAGCAAGCTGTTGGTGGGAGGGAAGAACATTGTTGACCACACCAATGAGCAGCAGAGGATTCTGGAGATGAAGAGACATGAGATAGCCGAACAGGTACAGTTTCCAGTAGCACACTGTGGAGAAATTGAGCTGGACTGTGTTTCAGTCCTCAAGGTTGTTTTAAAGGAGCGGGTTATTTGAGCTTCCTTATAGTTTGTGTAAATGCTGCTTAAAGCATTTGTTAATTTTTTTTTCTCACTGAGCAGTCCTTTCTGTGTTTGGAGGTGCATTAATGCAGCTTACAAAGAAATTCTGATACAATTTGTGGCCTGTCATTGTGTTCAACAATTAATTTATATCTAGACAGTGATTGGACAGAAATATGTATGTACATTTGTTGTTTCTAGGATGTTATAAACTTTATATGAGCAGTTACACATAGGCTTGTGAAATGCAAAGATGTTTAAAATATTCATAATGTGTGTGTGAGCAGAAAAGGCGAGAAAGGGAGATGCAGCAGGTGATGGAGTGTCGTGACGAAGAGACACTGGAGCTGAAAGAGACGTACAGCTCACTGCAACAGGAAGTTGACATTAAGACCAAGAAACTGAAAAAGGTAGTATCTGTCTGTCTATAGCAGTATGCTGTTAAAATTATATTAGGAAGGCTGTGTGCATGTGATCAGGTGTATTTTTAGAGTCCAGCTGTATTCTTTGGAGCCATTAGTAGTAGGACAGCTCTCATGGCAGATCTCCATCCTCCTTGTTGAGAATCATCCATACTTGACTGAATTTGACCTCCTATTGCTTGAGTTTGTAGAGCAAATGCCTTACCTATTCCTCTGAAGATCCTCATCTTTTTTTGAACATCCCATCTGTTTCTGTCTCTTTCATGTAGCTTTTTTCCAAGCTGCAGTCTGTGAAGGCGGAGATTCAGGACGCCCAGGATGAACATGTGAAATACAGGCAGGAGCTGGAGCAGACGCAGAATGAGCTGACCAGAGAACTCAAACTCAAGTATGTCATCACATTGAATCGAGAAACACAATCTGGTGAATCCTGAATCGAATTGATACTCTATCAACACAAAGATTCACAGTCCTACCCTTTACACATACATCTTCCACTTCCTAGTAGTATACCGGCAAATCTATGCCAAAAAGAACCGAGTGCACCAGTTATGTTTACGCGCATGCTAAATTGCTTCCGGGAGAGGATAACAGATCCATGCGCGAGGAAACGGGAGCCTGCGAGCTCTTTTTAGACACCCGCGTGCACATCACATCACCTATGTGCGCAATACAAGGCCCCGCGAGCGAGGATATGTCTCATCGCACGCACGTGATCATCCCCCTCATTCTCACGCTCCGTATTTTTTCATCTGCTTGTTTTTGCTCACGCGAACACTTTTATTTTTGGCAGTCGTGGGGCGGGACTTGCTGGTTTAATTGCAATCTCAAACGCCATTGGTTACTTCCCCTTTTCCGGAAGTCAGCTGTGATTGAACGCCTGTGAAAAGGCGATCCATAATTCACATGTGACCTGAGACATGGCTTTATCAACGACCCAGATGCATGCAAGTTGTCATTTATTAAATTTTTTATAAATATAACATGGCTGTTTTAATGAAAATTAATTGCATGCTTTGTCAATAGAACAGATCTTTAGCAGAAAGTTTATTATATAAATTCTTCCGTTTACTAGTGATTGCAATCTTGTGATGAAAAGATAAAACACCACATAAACCCTTTTTATAGATTGTAATGACACGTTTCCACGGTTATTAGCATGGTAAATCTACCAAAATGTTTATATTTGATTGTTTTTATACAACACAATGCTTTGGGTTATATTAACTTCTCAAAATACAAATAAAATAAAATAAAACTAATAGTCAACTTGTTGCTATAACTCAAATGAGCTGTAGTTCACCACTTTATTTCCACTATATGCTTGTCCATTAAATAATTGTAAGTGTACATAACCTGAAAATACAAACCAATTTGGGATTTACAATTATTTACTTGTAACTCGGTGAACACTCGGTTCTTTTTGGCATAGATTTGCCGGCATATATTAGTTCTCATCAACATGTTTTGTCATTTGTGGGTTCAGTGGTCAGTGTTTGGTTTAGCGTGGAGGCTGAATTTTAAAAAAGGAACCTCTAAAAGCTTTCTGACCTAATTAAGTTGTTGTGTTGGACTGACTGCTTGAAAATCTGGACTCAGCACAACTATATTATGGATATGAACAGTTTAATACACACACTCACACTGAGAAAAAAAAAATCATAATTTCATTGACCCTTTAACATTTGTGTTGTACCCACCAGACATTTGATCATCGAGAACTTCATCCCACTGGAGGAGAAGAACAAGATTGTGACAAGAACCACTTTTGATGAAGAAGATGACCTTTGGAAAATGACCCCCATCACCCGTATTCAAAAGTATTTAGACTTCTTGAAACTGAAGTATTTGTATGGCTACTAACATCCTTCCCTTTTTCATTATAATGTTTCATCTTTCTCTTTCTCTTTCTCAGTGATCAGCAGATGATGAAAAGGCCTGTTTCTGCAGTGGGCTACAGACGGCCTCTGAGTCAGCACGCCCGTATGGCCATGTTGATGCGGCCTGATGTCAGATACAAGGTATGCTGACACTGTTCCCATAATCCCCCGCGTGACACCACACAAAGGCTTCGGTTACAATACTCCCTCACTCTTTACAGCGACACAGATGAGCTCAGGAGAATCAGACACATGTTATGTTCTTGCTCCTTTGCCTTTATCTTTTTATATTCTCCCTGTCCATCTTCCAGGCTGAGAATATCTTGCTGCTGGAGTTGGACCTGTCCACACGGACCACAAAAGACTACGAGGGCCCGGTGATCGCGCCTAAAGTGGCTGCGGCTCTGGAGGACGCTCTGAGGGAGGAGGACGAGATCCAGGTGGATGCCTCTGGTCTTCGTGCCAGCCTGGGCTCCATTCCAGGCCTCAGTGCCTCAGCTGCTGGCTTTTCCAAGAAACCAAAGTCAGGGTGAGAAATTATCCCTCCAACCCTCTCCCCTTTTGTTTATTTTTCACCTCTTTGTTTATCCTATCTTAATATACTTTTTCGTTTTTCCCCCACAATCCTCTCACAGCCGCCCAAAAACTGGCAAGAATGTGAGCACTCCAACTTCAGCTCACAGCCCTTTGTCTGGCTCAGGGTCCCCTCTTTACCCTCAATCCCGAGGCCTTGTGCCAAAGTGACACCGGCCCTCTGTGAAAACCTTCACTGCTCCATATAAACTGACTGGTTTTGGCATTAAATTTCTCAGTTTTTAAACAAAAAAGGTGGAACATCTTGTGTTATTTAAACCCACCTATCAGCCCACAAACTACCTTCTTTTTAGATGTCGCTTCAACATCCCGTTCATAGCACGAAAAAAGTTACGTTTGGCAATCTTTAAAGTCTTGAAGTTTAGATTTGGTTTGCACTCAAGCAAAATGTTACATGTTTTGTGTGTGTGTGTGTGTGTGTGAGGTCATTGAGACAGCAGATGGTCTCGGCATTGACCATAAGTGTTAGTTACGTCATTGTGGGGATGTTTTTGTGTGTGTCCAGTTGTAGGATTAACAAATTTCTCAAATAAAGTAGCTGGAGATGAGATTTATGCTGGTTTGGGCCACAAAAGCACTGTATTGTTGTTTGACGAGAGAGTAAGCACATTACGTCATTGGCTAAGACCCAAAACAACCTCTAAGCCTTTCTTGAAAACTCTTCGAGGTGCTTGGGCTTAGGGAAGGGCCCAGAAATACACTCCTGACCAGGCTGTTGTCGCAGTCAGCGCAAAACAAATTCCTCGTATGTGTAAACATACCTGGCAATAAAAACTCATTCTGATTCTGATTCTAAGGAAAGGCATTAGGGGGTTTAAAGGTCATCACATACTAAAAATATCAGGGGTCCAAGGTGCCTTAGATTCTCTTTAAGTACAGAGGTTTGGTCTGAGAGTCCCTTGACCTGATAGCTGGACAGTAGAACCTGTAATCCACACCAAAACCCCTGTGGATGGTTCCTAAATGCTTTGAATTACGCTCTAAGTCTGTTGGGTTGAGCAGGCTTATATTTAATATTCATGGGGATCTGTAAACAAGAGTTTGACTTGACTAAGTCTTATTTCTGTCTGTGGAACTGTCAAACCTTGAACTAGTAGTGAAGGTAATACCATTGCCTGCTGCTACTGTAGGGTTCTTTTACCTCTTGTGTCATAGCATACGGTTTATGTATATTGCGACATGTTAGTAAATAAATCTGCATTATCATTGCAGTTGTATTAAAATCAAAAATAATAAATGCATTCTTAGAGTAACATTTTTAAAAGGCTAAGTTATTACCATACTAGTCGGTTTATGTTCAAGCAAGTGTAGATAGTTTTTAAGTCGGATTTTCTTTGCTTAGATTTATATGGTTTATTTTTGAATATGTATTATTTAAAGTTGTGTACAAATGTATTTTTGTATATGAGATTTAAGTATCATTTTAATGTCATTCACTGCATTCGTCTGTGTTGAGCGGATTACGTCATCCTATAGTAAACATACAGCTTTTGGATTGTCAGAATGTGTACTGCAAATCCTGATGCTGGTCATTGAATTGAGGGTGAATTTATTCATTTAAATATGCATTATCTAATCGATATTCATGCTGCCACTCCTGTGTTATTGGATAAGTCATTAGTTGCTGTTAGGTTATTTTTTGAGGTTTTAGCATGATATAAGAACATCTAAAGCATTATAGGCGAAATGAAACCGTAAACGGTCTGTAGTCTAATACTCCACTTTCACCCTTCTTCCATGTGATGCATGAGTTCAGTGCTAGTAACCACACTGAGAAAATCATTTTCATGTTCACACAGATTTTTTGTTTTGTACAAAAATGTTTTTGAATTTGTATTTGAGTTTAGAATGCAAATGTCCTCATTGTCTTAACCATCTTTTAATTAAAGGATGATTATCTATTTGAGGGTGTAAGCGCTGTTTTTTCCCCACCCATTTATTCTGCTTGCATTTTTATTCCATCCAAATCACAATATGACTTTAAGTAATAAAAATGACCAGACTTTTTAATGCTTCACCTGAACTTCGTCCTCGTCCAGGTTGTGGTAGCACAATGATATTTTTATTATTATTATTTACAAACATGGAGAATCTGTTTCTTTTTCCCTACTAGAAATAAAATGAACAGAAATGTGTTGTCCAGTGTGCAAATTCAAACTTTATTGAAGGTTATGTCACCTAAGCACACAGTTGTTTCAAGCTAAACCTGGTAGATATGCTTGTATGTTAGATGAGTAAAGACTTTTCTTCTAATATCCTGGATTTTATGGGCTACCTAAGCATTGGTCTCATCAAGGAGAATTAAAGAGAAAAGCTCCTGCACTGATGAAATGTGTAGAAATCAAACTTGGGATCACAGAATTGCCAGAGCCAACCACTGAACGCTCGGAATAGTCTTCCTGTACAGAGATCGTTTTACTACCACACTGTGATATACAAAAACCAGATCATTTTCAATATTTTTGGTCAAAAAACAGAAAGGTCCTAACATTTTGGTCTTTTTGTTCTTGAGTTAAAAAAAAAAAATTACATGAAATAAAATGTTTCCGAAAGTATTCCTGAGTAGGGCTAAAGATTCCGAGCACAACGACTGGAATTAATGAAAAAATACCCAAGTGCTGCATATACCTTGAATTTTTGGCAATTACCAATAAATAGAATTTTACTAAAAATGTTTCTCTTTATTTTCACCCAGTCTTTACAATATTATTTGTAAAGCTTGCGATATGACAATGAACATTGTAAATCACTGTTTGTATAATTCTGATGGATGAAGTTTCTATAGTAACTGGGTGCAGAAATTATGTCTACCTTAATTCGAGCATGGAATAAAGTTGCCGCATCAAATGTAACGCTATCAACAACGGCAATCGAATTTACATGATGTAAAATGTGTCATACCACCACAAACTCAAATACTGTCAAAATGTGGGTGTGCTACGGCAGTACACATGCAGACGTTATTCAGTATTTTGGAGAACACCGTAGAGGCAAGGAAAAGAGTTCAACAGTGGAGGACCAACTTTAGGGTCTCGTGTAAAGGTGTGGTCACATTAGCAAAATTTCACAGGCAAAGAAAGACCAATGTCAATAGAGTAGCAATGCATGAAACACCGCTTACACAGAAATCACTTTCAAACCAAGCAGCTTTCTGTTGGGCAACGCGGCAAATTTGCATTACCAACTTTGACACGAACTCTGCGTGAGGAACTTTTTCGTACTCGCACGAATTTTCAATTGCGTGAAGCACCTCACACACAGAAGTCACGTTCAAACCAAGCAGCTTCCATTTAGTTGTGAGGAATTCGCTTGACCAACGTGAACATGAGCGAAATCTGCGTGAGGAACTTTTCCATCCTTGCGCGAAACTCCCAGTCGTGCAGATTCCTATTGAAATGACTGGATTTCACCAAGATAGGGTAAATGTGGCCGCACCTATAAGCTATAAAAACATATTCAATCCACCATGTCAAACTATGCCACATCCCAAAGTGATGCTACTCTAAAAGAGCTCACAGCTACAAGCAATTCCCACAGGAACAATGTATCGTATCGGACACGTTTGATCATCTCAATCAAGGGGAAAACTGAATTAAAAAAGAGCTGCATGAGCTCATTCCTTCAGTTCCATCTCTGTACATCGTAAATCAAGGAGCTTTGCTTCTCAAAGGGATATGGATATCATGATGTCATTAATTGGGGACTTAATTGTCATGCTAATCCAGCTAAGAGGAGGAGAAAGAAGTGAAAGGCTTTTCTTCACGTCTAATCGTCGTAGCGCTATTATCTCTCGCCACGTCTCATTTCTCCCTGTAATACAGCAGATACATCTTCAGGGGTTCAGGTAACGGGAGTCTTAGAATCTTCTCCCTCAGAATATTAACGGGAGGCTCTGCACGAGCGCAGCCGCTTTCGCTTTTCTCCTCTTCGGTGCCGCCGCATCCTTCCTCATCCTCCTCAGGCAGGTCTTCTCTCACTCTGCGGCAACCGATTTCCTCTTCCTCCTCCACTTCCTCTTCTTCCTCTTCCACTCCTCCGGGGTAGTTGCAATCGTCCATGGCTGTGGGAATCATGGAGTCGTGGAGAACGACGGAGTTGACGCACTGGCGGTAGAAACGGCGGCAGAAGCGGCGGCGTTCGAAGCGGGGCCCGTAGCGGTGCATGGCCCGGGCCCCTGGGAAAGACACCCGTCTCTTTGTGCGTCCTTCCCCCAGAGCTATGGGCTGCCGCAGAGTGTGGCGAATAGCAATCCGGGACAGGTCCTGCAATGTCCGCACCTCAAAAATGGCTGCAAAGCAGAAAGCGAGGAGGAAAGAAGAGTTTTTTTTTTTTTGGCAGTTTACAGTTTCCTTGTTTTGTTTTTTTTAGTTTAATAATAATAAAATTGTAACTATTTTTTTTATGGAATATCACAACTTTTCTTCCATGTTTTCCTTTTAATTTTGCAGCACATTTTAAAAGATTAATTATTAATATTTCATGATATTTCACTTCATTTGATTACCACCATTTTTGAGGACACATTTATATAATTTTTTTTTATATCATTAGATTATAGCATAACATATTTCATAACATATAGCATAACATATAAAAAAAATCTAGAAACTTTTTGTATTTAAATCTTCAAATTTGATTAAATAGTTATAATTACTAATGAAGAGAATGAAGGCTTCTTCACACTAAGAATTTGTAAAATGATAAATAATACATTTAAGAAAATTTGTACTGCAATCATGTTGTTTTTCACATTTTTTTCCCAAATAGTGGGATAAGTCTGTATAATATAATCCTTTATATTGCAAAAATATAAAGGATTCATAGGGGGAAAAAATTATTTTCAGATTTAAAAAATGTTACATTTCCAAATAAAGGCTGTTCACATCAAGAACTAGAACTATAATGATAACTATATAAGCATCTACACCAACGGACAGTAATATTCTGTTTATTATAAGCATGAGCAGTGGTTTTGTCATCTGCCGCTTTAAATGCTGGATCTCTTAAAAGCTGAATTTTGATTGGCTGTCAATGTTTTCATAATTCACCAGGTGGAAAAAATGGTTATGAAAATGATTCCAACAATATTGTTTCTCTGTGTTGTTAACGTTATAGTTGTGGTCTGGACTTCACTATTCTCTTAGCATGGTTATTAAAACTTTAATAATTACAGTTATTGCTATATTTAAGGTTATCCTTTACACTGTAGTAATGGGTTGTATTTGGTATGACAGCATGTAAATGATCAGACATTTGCTTTAATTTTGGTATACAAATACTTTCAGAGAATGATCAAAATTCTCACTGGACTTGGTGTAAACAGTATTGGTGTGAAAAATCATTTGCAATTAGTGTCCTTGTTTGTACTGGACTTCAGGCGGATGATTTGTCAGTGTACTCACGTAAAGGAACACTCCTAGGTCTGCCATTGACATTCTGCTTGGGCTGGACAAGCGGGGCAAAGGTCACAGCGATGATTTTCTTGGTCTCCCAGGAGCTCTGACCTGTGCGGGTGATCTTGGTCAACTATAAAAGAGTTTCTAATTAATTACACTAATTACACATCATCCCATGTGAATACTAATTACACGTGTGTGTGTGTACGTTGATTTGTACACATGGTCTTTTCCAAATATTTCCCAATAAAGTGGGACTAAAGCCATTCTATATGTCTCGGCACCTATTGTAACAGGAAATGTCAACACAAGAAAGAAAACTACATTCATCAAACCATTGACATTTCAAGTGTCCTTTAAAACCTGCTGTGCAATAAGAACACATTAACTTGATGAATAAACATGAACCCACCTTCTCCTCCAGGGGGAGAACTAAGATCCCGCCAACCTTTAGCAGGTTCTTCATGTAGTTCTCATACTCTTTCTGAACTCCTGCTCCACAGTACACCCTGTCATACTGCTGGCTCTCCGGAGGGATCTCCAGGCAGTTTCCCACCACAAAGGTCGGCTCACAGAACTCAAACCTGTGGCCATTAAACAAAATCATGTCATTAAAAAAATGTGACACTTGAAAGCCAATGTAAAGATGCATCACAGGAAATGGCTCACTTGTCAAAGCTGTCGCTGGTTTTGATAAAGTAGTCAAGTTTCTGATTCGCATAATCGACCACATCCGCATGCAGTTCCACACCGTGATTCACACCAAATGGACCTGGTGACAGAAACGACAGATGTGTAAACAATCCTTTTAAAGGATAAAAAAGTGAATTGGTTAAGAAATATATAAATTCAAGGTAAACTAAAAAAAGTTTAAGGGTCAGTAAGATTTTTTTTTCTGTTTTTAAAAAAAATGTATACTTTTAATTTGCAAGGACACATAAAAATGGTCAAAAGTGTCAGTGCAGACATTTGTTACAAAAAAAATTATATTTCAAATAAATGCTGTTCTTTTGAACTTTCCATTAATCAGGGGCAGTCGTGGCTTAATGGTTAGAGAATTGTACTTGTAACCCAAAGTTTGCGGGTTCGAGTCTCAGGTCCGGCAGGAATTGTCGGTGGGGGGAGTGAATTACCAGCGCTCTCTTTCACCCTCAATACCACGACTGAGGTGAGACCCTTGAGCAAGACACCGAACCCCCAACTGCTCCCTGGCAAAAATGGCTTCCCACTGCTCCGGGTGTGTGTTCACTACTCACTGCTGTGTGTGTGCACTTGGATGGGTTAAATGCAGAGCACAAATTCCGAGTATGGGACACCATACTTGGCCACACCTCACGTCACTTTCACTTTTCACTTTCAAATAATCCTGAAAAAAGCTACTAAGCAAAACAACTGTTTTCAACATTGAGAATTATAAGAAATGTTTCTTGAGCAGCAAATCAGCATATTAGAATGATTTCTGAAAGATACTGTGACACTGAAGACTAGAGTAATATATATATATATATATATATATATATTGAAATATTCAAATAGAAAACAGTTATTTAAAAGTGTAATGATATTTCATGACTGTTTTTACTGTATTTTTGATCAAATAAGTGCTTCTGACCCCAAACATTTCAACAGTTGTTTATTTTCTCTCAATGTAAAGTTTTAATATTACACAATTTCACTTCTCAATCTCAACTAAATGTATCTTTTGAAGGATGTTTAGATATTTTTTTTACTGGAAAACAAGACAAAAATTCCAATAAATAAACTGGGTTTACACTCACCCAGTATAAGGCCCACCATGGTGCTAAGATAACCTGTCCCACTGCCCAGATTGAGAAAAGACAGGCCAGGCTGCAGGTCCAAGGCCTCCATCACCTCCGAGTAGATGCATGGAGCAGACAGATGGAGGTTTCCATGCCTCCAGGCCAGGTCTTTATACGCGCTGTCACGGTACTCCTCCAGATAATAGTCTGCTCTGTCAATGGCTCTGAAGGCCCTCTCCACCAGTTCTGAGCGGATGTAATGGGCCTCCTTCAGGTTGTCAATCAGCTCATCGTTGTCCTCACCCGCGCTCACGGCTCCACCCATGATGAAAGCAGAAGAGCTTCTAAAGACAGTCCTGAGGTGTGCCTGTCACTGTCTGGAGGGAAAAGCAAAGCATCTCAGATCAAACCCAGAGTCAGTTGACGCTAAAATGGCAGAACATTCTTATTGAGCTTTATAAAACAAACACAGAGTTTGATATATCAAATAACAAACTTGAAGAATTCCTAATTGAACAACACATACATATTAATAATAATGATACTGCTGTAGTGGTTTTAAGATCATGTTTTATTTAGTCATAAATGACACCTCCAACAGACTGTTGTCTAGCAGGTGGGAAGAAAGGAAAGAATGCTAATTAAGACAGCCGAATCTTTAATGAGTCCACGTCAGATATCTGAGGTGAGCTGATATGCCAACAACTTGACAATAAGACTCGCACTCGCCTTCAACTCCTTCTCTTGCACTCTATTTTTAGGGGTCAGACAATGCCAAGTAAAAAGTGGCACGTTATTGCGTCCCGACTTGAACTCTTGGCAGCGCCTCCATTTAGAGCAGAGATATCATTTGTTTGTCATTTTGGCAAGCAGACAAAAAGCACATGGGTAGCTGACATATTACAAGTCTTTCTTTTTCATCCAGAATCTAGGTTCAAATTTAGATTAATATGCATTTTATTTTAAGTTCTGTACCATTTCAACCATCTTATTTAAAAGTCATTGATTTAGGTTTTAATGTAAAATACAACATATATATATGTATATATATATACACACACACACACACTGCAGAAACCATCACTTGATGAATAATAAAAAGAGCATTCAAAAGAGCATTTATTTGAAATATAAATATTTTGTAACATTATATTAGTCACTTTTTATAAATTTAATGAGTCCTTGCTGAATAAAAGCATTAATTTCTTTATAAAAAAAACGTACCCCAAATGTTGTTACATTTTTTGATACATTTAATATTTAAATGTACTATTAATGTGTTATTAAGATAAACCATGATCACAGCACGTTAGCATATCGATGGTCACATTTGCAAACTGCAGAATACTTCAGACTTTTAATAAATAACCGACTAACAATATAAATTTGCAGAATTCAAGGTACTGTTACAATAAATGAAACAGCAACATTAAAAACAAATATGATTGGTTTTGGATTACCCTTTACCTACAACTACCTGATGGTAAAAATGTTACCTCATTGTTTGCAAGGTTTGGTCTGATTGAGCAACTCACTCAGCAATGATCGACTCCATCTAGTTACAATTGTGACCTGAAATACAACATAATTTAACTTTTTGTTTGTTTGTTTTGATTTTGTACTTTTTTGTTTCAACTGGGCTATCAAAAGAGTCAAATAAATATGTGCTGGGAAATGTGAGTTAAAAAAAAACACAAATAGTATTGTTCAGTATTGTTTTGTTTAATATAGATTTCAACAAACCTATAGTAGGACATAGTAAACAATCCACAAATATGTCAATTGGGTAACAACAAAAGCACCATAGATTCAAATATCAGCACATGCAAAATGGTGGGCTGGTTGATTCTTGTACTTGTCAAGATACATTTCAACGAGGCTGTGAAATCGAACTCAATATGAAAGGTACATTATATCACTTTGCAATTTAATCTAACAGATGAACTATTGAGGTCGTGATGGCACCCGTTAATTATTTATAACGAACAACCGTTTGTAACACCACAGCCCGGTGACAAACAGCACCGAGCATCACGTATTCAGCAGCAAACCGATCGCGCCGTTACACGACACTACAAACACACATCTGTAACGCACACAGCAGCGAGAAAACTGTTGTAACCCAGTAACCCTCATATGTAGGTCACGTTTGTGTTATGCATGTACCAACAGTTAACTGCAGTCGGTCTGTCTATGCACGAGGAGTAGCTTTGCACAACCACCGACATAAACAAAAGAGTCTCCGGCCACACTGGCACTATTTGCCGCTGCGCACGACATCTTACCGTGTGAATTCGGGCCTCAGCGGTTGTCTCGTGCAAACCGACAATGTCCATCGATTACATTAACGCGTATGTCTCGTATATGGATGCGGGCACAATAACGTCTAACTTGACTGCGAAAAAATTCATGCGATGTAAACATAAACCAGCTGACGCCCTGACGTCACACGCACGAAGACGTCGCTGCATTTCGTGGAGATTCGATTCACCTCAGTGACTCGATTCTTTTCAATCTTTTCAGCAAAACGATTTAAATTGAGATGCAAGCATTGGTTTGTGCAAAATAAAAAAGCTAAAACATCGCCAGAGTAGTAGTTGAGTAGTCGTTTATTGTTTCGCCTGAGGCAATCAATGAGTTTTGATGTTGAGAGTCAATGAATCATTCAATCGATTCCGTAAAAGATTCATTCAATCGATTCGGTAAAAGATTCATTCAATCCTGTCATTCGCTTCGGTCTAATGTTTTATTAAAATGTACGAAAAGTATTATAAGCGTTTTCACCACAAATGATAATAGAGCATCTACTGTATAATTGTCTTTCTTCATTTTTGTCTAGCAAGACAAAGAGTCTAAAGACTCGTTCAGTCGGTCAACAGATCCAAATGCCTTGTTCAACGCCGCTCCGCTCCGAATCTTGTAAAGACTCCACATACAGTCCAAACACAGACTCGTCGACGTGACAGCTGCTCTGCTAAAGGTAGGACACAACAGGGAACAAAATGCGTCCACATGGTCCAGTTTACTGAAAAAAGATGCATTCAAGTACAGATTCGTTACAGATACGAACGAAACACCAGTAGAACATGCTCAAATTCCCTCATACACCATTTGAGATTCATAGAGCACTCAAAGCACAGTTATACATATATATATATATATCTTCTTATTTTTATGAACAGTAATGGTTTTCATTTATTTTGGCGCAAATGAGTGCTGCTTCCAAACTGTATAAGCACCTGTAGATTCATTTAGGCCTGATTTACCTAAATGCACTTCCCTAAATATATCTGTCAGATACTGTGATTAGCACTGCAGATATGATTTCATCTCGCTTCTAAAACGAGTGTCATTATTAGATACCGTTGGAAGGTTTCATGTGAATCCTCATTATGCTGAGATAGTATTGTTTTGAGTGTGGTAGTGTCTTTTTGTCTCCAGCAGAGGTCAGAAATGTAAAAAGTTTAGATTTGCAAATGGTGGCACACTCCCAATCTACACAAAGACCATAAGCCTAACAGACTGTAAAAAAAAAATCTCTCCTCACAGCTATCACTATCATGATTCTGACAAAGATAAAATATATATGAAAGAACATACTAGTCAATTGGCATACACTTATTATTTTCAGAGGTTCAGTTATCAAATTGATTAATCAAGACAGATGGAATCATGCAGTGACTAAAAAAATGCAAAACCAAAACGTATATTTTAGCATGTGTATCCAAACTTTTGACTTAACAAGCAAAAAACGAACACACGCACGCGCACACTCACCACGTAGGAAGTACTCGGATATACTCAGAAAGATCACATTATTGACTCTTTATTTATGTTTTCCATATATAACACTGAAATGAACAATACCTCCACAAAACAGACATTATTTTTCTCTTTTAACACTGATATCAATGAGCACAGGTACAAGGATACACAAACACGGTCACAATCCAAAACCAACTACACACTTCATTTCCAAAGTTAGCTCGAATCACGCACAGCCATAGCTTGTCCTGCTCTACAGAAACAAAACCTTGGTAAGGAAACTACCACTGCTACAAAAGTGAATAAAACATGTAGTCTATCACTGTGAAAGTGCTTATTATTATTATTATTATTATTATTATTATTTTTGGAAGTACCATTTCTTTTTTTGTCATTTTCTAAAGGATAATCATTTTGTAGCTACAAAATCACCAGTAAAAATAGCTGATCTCTGTAAAAAGGACGCAAGAGGACAAGCCTTGGCCGTGGGTTAAAATACTTTTTTTTTTTCGGCATTTACTTGTAAGTATTATTTAATACAACAACACTGTTCTTTATTACAAATGTACAGAATACTATTGTTGTCAGAATAATGCCCTGTGTATAAATGGTTCATCTGTGATACGTTCCATGATTATTTCAGACTCGATGAAATGACCCACCACACAATTTCATACCTGAATCAGAATCACAGTTTTGGGAAGAATAGTGTTACGTATTGTGATTTATTTCATGTTGAACAATAAGCTGAATATCGATTTCAATATGATCTGCTCTTGGTGTTCACCACTTTGCTGAAGTCCTATTACAACCCCCCCCCCCCCCCCCAAAACAAGGAAGGAAAGAAAAAAAGGAGAAAAAGTTGGCGTCCTGAGTGGGATTTGAACCCAGTCCTTAAATGTAAACACACCCTTTCCTGCAGCAAACAGAAGCGAGAAAAGGCACACATGAGAAAACCACAGAGCTGTAAGCTACAGTACCTACAGAATGAGGGCCATTTTGGTTATATCAGCTTAATGGGACAAACAGTACCTTCCGACTTTTTAGCTGTTATTGTTTCTCATTTAATGACAGAGGAACCATTTTAATTGACCTACGATTGGCACAAGTCTCGGGAAAGGCTGGACTCTCAAGTACAAGGTGCTAAATCAACCCTTATTTTGTTCCACAGGGAGGGGTTACATATGCTAACTTGCATTTGCAAATGCTACACTGCTCCAGAGAACATGCTACATTATTAGGCAGATTCTACGTACTCATCCTCACCGTGCAACATTCGTAGCTGCTCATCATCACCGACAGCAGGCGTTTAAGAAGCATGCATTGAGGAAGAATAATTCACACATGCTTTAGGCTATCTCATGTCAGTAGTAATAAGCAGATAGAAATGTTTCTCCCATTGTAATAAGACGATGTGACATCTGTAGTGAGTATTCCCTCTTCGCAATTTAATAGAAAGTAGAAACTCTGCCGTTACGGATAGACAACGTCTTCAGATTGCTCTTAAAGCAAAGGAAACACTGTGGTATTGAAATGCAATGCACACATCTTTCCTGCAGAAAGGTTACACAGAACGAGGCGAATGAGGCCGATCTGACATTCTGTGGAAATGGACAAAGATTTATGCAACTAGCGTCTCCTTCGTTTTCTCTGTGTGCGAGGGCATGCCAGTGACAGTCTCAGAACGCAAACGCTCAAACCACATCTTTTTTCCTTTTAACGAAGGCCTTGTTGCCGAGAGCTAACAGATCTGATACCGTACATCCGATTTTGGATGGATAAGGTTTTTTTTTGTACTGGCTACAAGGTAAAAAGATGTCGGTCAAAGGGCATTTGACATTTCCTACAGGATACAGATTCACATCAAACAACAACGAACAAGTCAAAGACATTTGTGATATTTTATCCCAATTCTGTTGGTGCAACTTGTCCAGTAGCCATTTGTACCTTTTTTTAAAAATAAAAAAGAATCCACTAACACACACTCGCGCGCACACAAAGAAAAACCTTTTGGTTGAAAGGTCATTAGTTGGCATTCAAGGTTTTTGAAAAGTGCACACATGTTCTGTCCATCACAATATTGCTGCCATAATAGCAAATGAGCAACATGACCGCTGTGTACTATTTAACGAAACGATCAGCTGAATAGAGGCACAATGTTCATTTCACAACTCGCTATTATGAGTCATACAGATGTCATTGCGATGATTGGCATTTTACACACGTATCTATGTGTGGCGTGTCCCACCAGAACTGCACAACACCATACAATATTAAAGACAGATCCACCGAGGAGAACTTTCAGCACAGTACAATGCGTCTAAACGATTACAGCCTAAGACTAATCTGTTAACCATTGTCCCATTAATGCGGCTGACATACATACAGAGGCCCAGTGAGTTTGGACCGGAAAATAGGAAACTCTACAAACATCCTTGAATTCTTCGCTTTAGAAATGTACGTTTACATATTATAAAACACATTGTATCCTGCAACCACAGTAAACTGGGTCTGTCTTTTCTTTATATTATTTAGTCTTCTATTGATAGGAGTACTCACAGCTTTTGGAAAGATATTGTTTCTGTTTAGCTATTATAAGAGAAAAAGAGTTAACAATTACACTGTAAAAATATATGTATGTTTATATACTATATATATATTTTTTTTGTCTTCTTTTTTCTTTTAAATACAGAATGAATATATTGTGTAGGTATGGCCATCACGGCAAAGGAATAAAGGCATCTGTAACAATCCCCACTTATACCACGGTCACATGACCCGAGGGTAGTGTGGTTGCTGAATGGGCGGAGTCGGTAACGAAAGCACAGGTCAGTGGCACTTTGTGCATCGAAGAAATAAAACTCTAGTATAAGGCTACACGGGTGTATGCTTGTCTGATACTAGTTGAGTAAGGACATTGTGGTTCAAGAGTTTCTATCAGGATGGTTGGTATTCGTCTTCTGTGCCCCGCCGCAAAAACGACTGCCCTCTCAGACAAAGTTTAGCAAGAAAGCAAAAATAATCCATTTGCAATTCATTAGCATTGTTCAGGGGAAACAGTTTTTGGCCACTACTGAGAGCTTGAGGAGGTATAAAGAGAAAAAAAAAAGCACAAGAGGATCCAGAGGAACGTCGTCTTCCTGTCGAGACGGACGGGGTAAGAGTCAAAGCTGTAGGTTCCACAGTACTGGAATTGCTTTTTTTCTCTTTACATTCCTATAGGAAGTAATGCTGGTATAAGGAAAACCTTCGATAATCATCATATCTTATTCTGTAGTCCAAAACATGTTTTTTGTCTTTATTTTTATATCGCCAAAGTTCTTCAAGACTACTAAGACTTCACAAACACACGGAGACGTTACAAAATAAATATACATTACAACCGTATCACAGTTCATAATTTCATCATAAATATTAAATAAATAATAAATAGAGATGATCCTTCTCCTTCAGCTGTGTTGGAAATTCGAAAAAATAAAATGCAAATAGAGAAAGATAGAGATAGATACACAAGTAGAGAGAAAGAGAAAGAAAATTTACAAAATTATCAAAACATTGTTGGTTAAAAATATTTGCACTTAAAAAATGTTCAAAAACTCTATCATCAAATGAAAAGAAGTTATAAAAATTAGTGGTACATATTTTTTTCTCTTTCCAAATATTGATGTGGCAATTGTCATGACCTTTTATA